ATACATACATACATACATACATACTACATACATACATACATACATACATACATACATACATACATACATACATACATACATACATACATACATACATACATACATACATACATACATACATACATACATACATACATACATATATACATACATGAGAGAAAGAGAAAGAGAGAGAGAGAGGTAAAGAGAGAGAGGGAGGGAGAAAGAGAGAGAGGGAGGGAGATAAGAGAGAGGGAGGGAGAAATAGAGTTACTATGTGTGCCTGAATATCATTTGAGTGTACACATCATGTAAGTATATTTTTTGTTTGTTCGAAAAGAAAAACAACAAGAAAAATACAACATGAAGATAATGACTATTTCAAATTTTTTCAACAACAATTTGGTTTTCTGCCAAATACTGACTCTGATATGCTATTTTCCCAGAGTCATGTAGTGTATCCGTTCTGTTTACGTGAGATACGTGTGCATAGTTGTTTGATGTATCTTGTACAGTCATTTAGATAATCGGATGCCTCTCGACATTGGTTGTTGTCATCTTCTGTTGCCACATGGAACCACATAACCTGCTGGTGGATTTGCCAACTGGTACCTATTGTAGATAATGTATATGATTTAATACTGTTGTATACAGACAGAAAGTGTGTTTGTATTCTATAGTTCTGCTTAATAGGGATATAAAGATTGTCTGCATGCAATATTTCTGCTTTGTGTAGAAAGAAAGAAAAATTACATGGGTTTTTTCTGCCTAATAAAGAAAGAAATATAATTCATATGCAAGGCTTTACTGAATAAAGAAAGACATTTAATTTATATGCAACACTTCTGCTTAATATATATATATATATATAAACAAAAATCATTTATGTGCGATATTTCTGTTTAATATAGAAAGAACTACAATTTATATGCAGTATTTCTGCTTAATATAGAATTAAAGGTAATTTATAAGTGATATGTATGCTTTATAGCAGGGGAAGTCAATAAGCTAGTCACAAATGATTTAAAAAAAAAGAATGATAAGAACTTGAAAAAAAAGCTTTTTTTTTTACACATACACTGTCCCTTCATTTTTCAACATAATTTCCACCCAAAATTGATACCTGCTGCATAGAACTGTGTGCTAGTTTTACTCTACGGAAGACCAGACAACATACCTCTCCCAAGAAATAGACGATGCTTTTCAAGATACGAAAGTGGTACTCGCGGTATGGATAGATTTAAGGAAAAGCGTTTGGCAAGCTTTTGACGGAGGGGCTTTTAAAGAAATTGAGAAACTTTAAAGGAAATGGAAGAATGAACAGTTATATTGATCCATATATACATAACAGAAGATCCCAGGTACAGGTAGATGGTTTCAAAAGTTAAAAAAATTTATACTGCGACAAGGCGTTCCTCAAGGCGGTGTTATGTCGCCTACACTTTTCCTCTTATTCATCAACGACCTGGTTGCTGAGATACCAAATGAAATAGAAATATTAATGTATGCCGACGATTCATCACAGGAGGGACGAAATCAACCTCTTTATTAGAAATGGAGAAAGCTCGGAAAACACAGGCACTGAGATAACAGAGAGATACAAAGTTGCAAATACAAGCTGAAATGTTTCTTAGTACGCCAGATCACCACCCCATGAAAAATATATTTCAGAACCTAGTCTCATGACGGTTAGAAAGAAGCAGCTTTTTACACCAAGCAAAAAGAATATGTAGACAAATTATTCTAATTTATGCCTCGTCGACATTGTGTTTTTTTGTTGCAAATGCGCATGCAATACCTAACGCCATCTATCAAACGGTGACATAAAGTTAGATGTTGCTGTCACCTAATGACACTTTTAGAAACCATCAACTGCATTTTCTTGCCATTCCATAACCATTTGTGACTTACTGACTTCGCCTAGCAGATAGACATGTAATTTATATGCAATATTTCTGCTTAGTATAGAAGAAAAGATAATTTACATGCAATATTTCTGCTTACAATTGAAAGAAAGATTATGTGTATGCAATACTTCTGTTCAACATAAAAAAAAGAGAGTGCAATATGATATTGCTTATTTTACGTGATGACGATTTTACTTGATTGTAATACTACTATTACCACCAACAGTGATAACAGAATAACAACAGCAACAACAACAACTACTACTACTACTACTGCTACTACTACTACTACTACTACTACTACTACTACTACTACTACTACTACTACTACTACTACTACTACTACTACTACTACTACTACTACTACTACTACTACTACTACTACTACTACTACTACTACTACTAATACTACTACTACTACTACCACTACTACCACTACTACTACTACTACTACTACTACTACTACTACTACTACTACTACTACTACTACTACTACTACTACTATTACTATAAATATGTATTATAAATAACAAATGCATCCAGAAGTTTGAATGAAGCAAATGTGTTTGGGATAAGCCCAAATGTTCCAATTACTAAAATCATTCAGTACCATAAAATGTTTTGCCTAAACTCAACAATTCAAACGAGTAAAGCTGTAAAGCAATACATACCATAGTCCATTTTTCAATTTTTTTTTTTAAATGACTTGTATCAATTTTTATTTTCCATTACAAAACAAATGTTACAGTACCGATGTGGATGACCCTAAACTTAACCCTGGCCACACAAGTTACTCCATTACAGCTTTTCACGAACATGAAAACTATCCTGCAGACAAATTGTATTAATGGGTTACCACACTTTTAGCGCACCAGTTATAACAGTTGTGGCCTTGTTCAAAATGTAGGTACAAACTAAGAAACATGTGCATTTTTATAAGTCGAGTGGTTACATTTGAACTTTGTTCCAAATAACTCTTAAAAGGCAATCCAGCAAGGATCATTGTATATATATATATATATATATATATATATATATATATATATATATATATATATATATATATATGTGTGTATATATGTATTGATATATATATATACACACACCTTAAAAAAGCATTATAATTACTTATGACAGAATGCTGAGACTGGAGTAAATACTACTGTATATTCCACGACAGATGAGTCTTAACTTTTTTTTTTTTTTACATCGGCAGTAATTTTTAAAGGCACTATTAAGTCTAAATAACTTAATTAAATGGACCTTCTCACTGACATAACGTTTGATCAATAATTTTTATGGTTAATAAAATAACTCGCTGGGAAAGAAAATATTAAGAACATCTGTTATCGTTGGGAACTAACAGTCTGCATATAAATAATCTGCACATAAATATGTCAGATCTGTGAAATGCATGTGCATGCAAAACTATTGGAACAAGACCAAAGCCCTGAAACGGGAAAACAATCCAAACTTTCCACTGGAGTTGTTAGCTGGTGAAAGCTAAAATAAGACAAAGCTAAAAAGTAGCTTATTACTGAGAGATTTCCCCAATGTGGGTCTGGGGCCCTATTATAGATCCAAAAAAAAAAGAATAGACCCACTGCCTACCCAAAAGCATGTCGTAAGAGTCGACTAACTGGGAACTTCCTTCGAAGTCGGAGTGCATCTGTTTGAGAGGCAAGGAACAGCAGTCTGCATACAAGAGAGTAATATCTGTAAAACAGATGCACACGTAACACTCAGTTATGGAAAAGGACTGCAGACAAAAAGTGGGTGAACAGTCAAAACTTTCCGCCAGAGTTTACAGCTGGTGAACGCGAAGAAGAAGAAGAAGAACTGAGAAATGTAATCACATGTTTATGTTTATCTTCTTCTTCTTCTTCGCGTTCACCAGCTGTAAACACTAGCGGAAAGTTCTGGTTGTTCGTCCACTACTGAACTGCAGTCCTGCTCCAGAATCTGAGGGGAAGGCAGTGGGTCTATTCTTGTTTTTTCCCCACAATGGGGCCCCGGAAACCACACGGGGGGTTAATGTTTATGTCACTCAATGGATCAACATCATGGCTTATGGGTTTAACCTATAAGTGCGCTGATCTACTTCTAACTCTAGCCTGAGTCGGAAGAAGCTCAGTGCAGTGCACAAACTCCGTTGCACTGGTGAGGATCCTAAAATACTTCGGGCAGATTTTTAACTCACAATTTTTGCCTGGGCAGTGCCGTTAGGCTACTCTTTTCTAGTTACAACTGCCAAGGGATTCTTTTACGTGAGAAACAAAACACACGGGCGTCCTACCTTACTACCAAGAGACCAGTGAATATTACTAGAAGTCTACATAAAGAAATCCAAGTCTTCAATGAGGCTTGACCTCCAGCACTCGAGGCGGACGCTATGCCTCGAGACCAATCAGCCCTTATTTAATCAGATATTAACCAGCGAGATACAACAAAAGAATGGAGTGTCCTGCGAAATTTCAAATCACGCTAACATACACGGAGAATGGACAGAGATGCTGACCTAAGAAGTAAGCAAAGAGAAGGACTGTTGCATATGATGCTTGACTAGAGGTTTCCAACCGGGGCTTCGTGGAGACCTAAGGGTCCAGCGTGTACTTCCCAAGGGCTTTCACGACCGCCACAAGAAATTACTTTAAAAAATAACTGACATTAAAGATAAATTAACCCCCCCCCCCCTCCCCCCCCCCCAAAAAAAGTAGATTCTGCTGCCACTAGCTACAAAATTGTTCACAGACAACGAAAGTTAGCCAACCTGCCAAATAATATATGTTCCATTTAGTTCTAAACATCATAAATCTGTGAGGAATTGATATTGTAGACCTAGAGGTTTCCTCTAAATCATTGATTCTCCAAGAATCAAAATAGTTGGAAACCACTGTACCAGTCTAATAGGCTCAGACCATGCGGTACTTGTTGGGTGGTGTTATCGAAGGTCTTTAAGACATTTGTGTCGACAAGCGGACCTGGAAAAAAATATGCTGGAAATAGTACCTAGACCAACAGATGGCTCAAACACAGATGTTTGACCGATCTGTTTATGGAAATAAAAGGGGGACGGGAGATTAAGAGGTCACTATTTGTATGATCGTCTCTTACTTGGGACTTGTAAGGGTAAGCTCGTATGGTTGAATGGGTGTCGGCATCGTTAAAGTGGCCGTCCTACATGTGTGAACACTTGCGAATTTCAGATATGTCTGGAGAATTCAAGATTCAGTTAAATTTTGATGATAATTCAAGCAATACTAGTGTGTTTAAAGAATGCGACTATATTCTTTAAAGTAAAAAAACAGATGTTCAGATGAAAAGAAAACAAAAGAAAACAAAAGAAAAGACAAAATAAAAATAAAAACCCATGTAGCCTAATTAAATCTGTCAACACTAAATGATGTCGTACATACTTTTCTCGCACAGTGAAACACTGCATCGATTTAACGATGTAATGTAACTTTCAGCGTGAACAGATGTATTAACCTTTCATGCAGTAATCATACAAACGTTTGTTCACAGTTTTTTGGTTGTGAGAAAATTAGAGTGAAAATGATGAATGTAATTTGTCAAGAATCTGTGTGAATGTATGTCTATCATCTGCTTGTTGTTGTTGTTGTTGTTGTTTTCGTCTTTCTGCAGATCCTTCTGTGATTAGTCTCGCCTCTGTCCACCGCTCTAACTTGAGCTCAATATGTGTGTCTATTTTAGAGCTCTAGAGCCCAGTTTGTGGCTTAGGCGTTGCGAACGCAGGGTTCTGGGTTCGATCCCATCTTCAGTCGATTTGGTAGCAGACCGCTTTGCGTTGGTTTCGACAGATAGCAATAGCAAACTACTAGACGTGATTTGCCTTTAAAATGCTACAAAATCACAACAATGCTGGAGTTGGTTCTGCAACGTCTTGTAAAATATAGGCAACTAGCTCAACAGCCTAGTCTTTAGTGAGTCTGCACTTCCGTATTCGCTCGTGGGAAAATTCTTTACACTACCTTTTCAGATAAAGGTGGAGGATCTGTTCGGGATTTAAGACTTCCTCAAAGTAGAACTGATTGACCACAACAGAAGGAGACAAACTACATTCTTTTGTCACGTAATGAGAAGGAGAAAATTGTTCATCGTGACGATGAGGTAAACGCAGGTGAAAAGTGGCAGAGGGAGACCGAGAGAGCAAATTGTGTTTGTAATGTTTGTTATCATGGCATGGTAGATCATCTTTGTCAGAATTGATATGAAAGTAAACGAGACAGAAGATTGCGGGTTTACATGAATAAAAACGCCTCACAGCATGGCTGTTAAAAGAAAAACAGGATTTAGTTGCATATAATTTTCCGGACGTTGCAGAAGCAACTCCAGTATTTTTGTTGTGTGTGGGTTTGTAGTTTAGCTATGGCAAATGTACTTTCAGTAGTTTTTCATTGTCTCCTGCCTTTACTCAACCTTCAACCCTCGATACCTTTTTGAAACCAACGCAAGACGGTCTGTTGGGAAATTGCCTGCAGCTGGGATCGAAACCGACACCCCGGCATTATGAAGCGCGCTCGCAATGTCTACGCCACAGACGCCGACAAAGATTACAAGAAGTGGACATAATATGTATTTGTATTAGCACACAATACTAATAGAAATAGTAATACTAATAATTTTTATTATTATTATTCACTGTGTATGTCTGGGGTTTCGTTGTTGGCAACAAAGTAGCAGCTGTCTCCCCAACAAGCATGTCTTAAGAGTCGAGTAATTGGAGGCTTCTTTTAAAGTCGATGTGCATATGCATGAGAGGCCAGGAACCAACAGTCTGAGCATAAATAAGCCATATCTGTAAACCGGATGTGCAAGCAACACTCAGGTTCTAAAATAAGACTAAAAGTCCAGAGCGTGTAAACAAAGCAGAGATTCTGCTGGGGTTAATAGCCGGTGAATGTGAAGAAGGAGAAGAAGAGGAAGAAGAAGAAGAAGAAGAAGAAGAAGAAGAAGAAGAAGAAGAAGAAGAAGAAGAAGAAGAAGAAGAAGAAGAAGAAGAAGAAGAAGAAGAAGAAAGAAGAAGAAGAAGAAGAAGAAGAAGAAGAAGAAGAAGAGAAGAAGAAGAAGAAGAAAGAAGAAGAAAGAAGAAGAGAAGAAGAAGAAGAAGAAGAAGAAGAAGAAGAAGAAGAAGAAGAAGAAGAAGAAGAAGAGAAGAAGAAGAAGAAGAAGAAGAAGAAGAAGAAGAAGAAGAAGAAGAAGAAGAAGAAGAAGAAGAAGAAGAAGAAGAAGAAGAAAGAGAAGAAGAAGAAAGAAGAAGAAAGAGAAGAAGAATAATAGAAGAAGAAGAAGAAGAAGAAGAAGAAAAGAAGAAGAAGAGGAGGAGAAGAAGATGAAGAAGAAGAAGAAGAAGAAGAAGAAAAAGAAGACGAAGAAAAAAAAGAAGAAGAAGAGGAGCAGAAGAAGAAGAAGAAGAAGAAGAATAAGAAGAAGAAGAAGAAGAAGAAAGAAAGAAGAAGAAGAAGAAGAAGAAGAAGAAGAAGAGAAGAAGAAGAAGAGAGAAGAAGAAGAAGAAGAAGAAGAAGAAAAGAAAAAGAAGAAGAAGAAGAAGAAGAAGAAGAAGAAGAAGAAGAAGAAGAAGAAGAAGAAGAAGAAGAAGAAGAAGAAGAAGAAGAAGAAGAAGAAGAAGAAGAAGAAGAAAAAAAAAGAAGAAGAAGAAGAAGAAAAAGAAGAAGAAGAAGAAGAAGAAGAAGAAGAAGAAGAAGAAGAAGAAGAAGAAGAAGAAGAAGAAGAAGAAGAAGAAGAAGAAGAAGAAGAAGAAGAAGAAGAAGAAGAAGAAGAAGAAGAAGAAGAAGAAGAAGAAGAAGAAGAATTAATATTGATGCTGTTAGTCACACACAAAAATCTTATCTCGAAAATTTGTTAGCGCTCCCCCCTCCCCCTTTTTTTGTTTAATTTTTACAAATAATTGTGTGTGAGTTGTGAGTTATGATTTGTGCTATCTTCACGGCTCTCCGGACGCACCCATAGGTGCTCAGATCCCCCCTTTGACACATACAGCAGCGTCCCGCAGTTACTGGTCCCAGTCCTATGTTGGTTGGCAAGACTTCTCGTGCGTCCGGTGGGCCACTCATGCCTGGCTGTGTCGATCTTAACTCCTAATTCTTGCACTCTTAGCAAAGATGTTAATGTACTGCTCTCACATATATGTGTGTGTGTGTGTGAATGTGTGTGTATATGTGTGTGTTGGTGCCGCTACCAAGGAAGCATCTGTTAGAACCCCACAGCCAGGTGTGTAAATACTGACCCCGTTGACTGGCCGACTGCAGTTGGGAACGTCCCCAAACACAAAGCCCTCATTGGTTGCAACCCTGAATGACGCAATGCAGGCTGGGTCAAATTGAAACTCCCCACAAGGTATATGGGACAACATCTCCATTTCAAAATCTGGTGGTCTTTAGTGAAAGAACAGGAGAAACACTTTAAAACATTTCAAAACATTTATAATTGAAAACATTACCCGGTAGCAGAACAAACACGTAGTCAACTGTGACTAATTAGGGGTTCTTCGTTAAGGTTTACAGCTAGGCTGCGATTAGAGGTTATTGTTGTCGTGTTTAGCTACATTCAGCCGAACACATGTGATTTTAGCAAAGTGTTAACTTGTCACCTTTTATATAGAGGGCAATTGATCTATTCTCCCCGGTCCCCCCCCCCTCTCCAACACTTCATTCACCCCTCCCCTTAAAAAATGGATTATTGTTCAATCAAAACTAAACGAATCAAACATATTAAACTAAAAAAAGTAATTCATGGCCTTCACCACAACTAGCATGTTTTGTAGGATAGAAAATTTGACACTTTAAACCGGTTAAAAGAAAATATCTAATTTTTTTTGGACACAGAGGCAAGAAGAAAACCAGAGTTGCTGACACACATTTTGAAAAAAAAAAAAGCCAGTTTAAATATTTCTGCGATTCTAAGATATAAAACTTTACAAAACCTAACTGGAGAGACAAGTTGAAGACAGACAAGTGGTAGACAGACAGTGATACTAAACAGTCAGTTGCAATGCTGCACATCCTAGTGAGCAGCGGTTCTCTATGGGTGGCGACACTTTTGTGGGTCGAACGACCCTTTCACAAAGGTTGTTAAAGACCTTTTGAAAACGCATATTCACTGAAGTTATGAAGTAGCCATGAAAATAACTGTATGGCTGAGTTCGCTATAACACGAGGATTTGCGTTAGGAAGTTTGAGAACTACTGCTTTAAAGGACGTTACATAACCAACCGCTGGATTTTCGACAGTTGTAGTTTTACTAAGCAATTTTACGTTCAGCAGTTAGTGATTGCTTACAGAACGGTCGGCTCTTGACACCATTGTTGACCGCAAACGGTACTGCTAGAGCCAACCTGAGTGCTTTAGAATAATAAAGCGCGTTAGCTACTTCTAATGCATAGAAGCCGACTTGCGATGAAAGTAGTGGCAGGAAAACATCAAGAGACGGCGTGTCTGAGTGTATGTTCATGGTGAAATATAGGGATGAAATTAATGAAAATTTTACTCGTTTACCCTTCCTCAGAAGGCTCGAGTGTCTAGCAGAGTGGTACTCAGAAGGCTCGAGTGCCTAGTAGAGTGGTACTCAGAAGGCTCGAGTGCCTAGTAGAGTGGTACTTAGAAGGCTCGAGTGCCTAGTAGAGTGGTATTCAGAAGGCTCGAGTGTCTAGTAGAGTGGTACTCAGAAGGAAGAAAAAAGATGAGATGCTACTCTTTAAAAGCGGCGTTTTCCTGCTTTGAAAAAAATCTTTTGTTCGCTACCTGGACCTTGTTGAGGCTCATCAGGTTTGACTTTTAACTAATATTTGTCCAAAGAAGGATGCTTTGCCTTCTCTCAGGTTTGAAAGTGTCTGGCCATTCCAAACACTGCTTTTACGGCTTGTTTAGGATTTATTAGGGCGATGCTTCTCTACAAAGACATTTAGCAACAATGTCCATAATTGATAAGAGGAGTAAGCAAAGTTAGTGCCCGGTGTCGTTACTCATTTTGACTCATACAAATTCCAGCAGGCGGGACGTGTTTCAAACATAACTCGAATACCAAACAAGAGTTTATGCGTCTGAACGCGACGTTTACCAAACCGAAAGTACACTATGCTCTAATTGTAAAAGCATTTTCTTGCACGAAAAAGCCTTTCTAGTCACACTCGCCATCGCCATGGGCTGTGATACGCACACTTCCAAAGAACACTTTATAACAATATCGTAGGAGTTATGTCGGCTCTGTGGCTATGTCGATGCGAACGCTTCGTAACGCTGGGGTGCCGGGCTCGATTCCAGCTGCAGGCCATGCGTTTTGCGTTGTTTTCGACAGTGGTATCAGGGGGCCGACCGTCCAGCGGGCAATGAAAACTACTGGATGTAAATTTGCCTAGAGAAACCACACAACAGCCAGGGGCTGCTGGGATTGGTTCTGCAACGTCCTGCAAAGGATACGCAACTAACCTAACCGCTGAATGAGTTATATGGATAGCTGCTAATAACTGCTTGTGTTTTAGCACTCTGGTCATTAGTCTTGTAGATTTGGATTATCTACGTAAACTTCCGCTAGGCTTTACTAATGTAAGTTTGTGCTGACTCGTCTGTTAATTATTGCTCATAAATACACTTTACAGTGTGCACAGACATGCATACTAACTTGGTGTAGTTCTTAATCCTATAAATAGTCACTGTGACTGTATCCCCGATATCGTCAGCTACGACTCACACCAAGAAATTGGCTGACAAAATCGATGATTTGCTCCATGTAAAAAGACTGTTTCTATGAAGTAACAAAAAATGCTATAAGTTATATACAGTTATCATTTTCAGTTGATATGCAGTAAGACTGGTTCTATGTCCAGGCAGAAACGCCAAATGTATTTTCTGCCCAAGAGTTAGCAAAACTGCAAGTTAATGCATTTATTTTACCACTTTTGCGGTGTAAGTAGAGGAGTCTGTGAGCCGATGATCTACGACTGTGCAGGTGAGGGTTAGAATTTGACCCCGAAAACATAAATCCCCAGAATATATACTTTATGTAATTTAAATTTGAGAGGCCCGCAGGATTTCTTATATGTCAACAGTCGCATTATAAGGTAGTATGCGATAGCAATGGCAAGTTGTTGGGAAAACATATAACCAGATTGTGACCAGTACCATCAGTATTGGAACTCTGCGCTGGCTGCTGAAGATGAGGACAGAACATGTATGGGAATGCTCGGAGCTGGTTTGTAGTAGACGTCGATTATGTACTTTGAATGGTACCAGTTACAGTCTGATTTTATACCCGTCTCTCCTTTCCCTTGATTGACGATCGTCGACCAGATTTCCAGGTCCCTCCTGGCAGCACCATTTTCGGCACACCACAATGGAAGACTACCAGACTACCAGACTACCATCGAAACATAACGACAAGCATGCGAGCTTCATATTTTTGAATGGACTGAAAGATAAGCATAGACTTTATCAGAGTAATCAAGTTATTGCAAAAGACTTTGCACAAAAAGACATGACCACTTACCGGCAGAAAACATTTCAAGTTGGCAGGTATAAAAGAGGCTTGAAGGAATGGGTGGTTATCCCCAGGTTCTTTGGTCTGAGCTTCGTTGTCGAATTCGCCGTTGTAGTAGCTGATAAAGTTCAACACTTTCTGTGATATACCTGGTTGAGAATAGAGACATCAAACTGACACGATGTAACACTGTTCATGTGTGTCGTAGAGGCATCAATTTGTCATTGGTCATAGAATGTGAAAGAAAATATACATATTATTAAAGTTAAAAAAAAAAAAAAAGTAAAGATCCCTTTTCACGCGTGTTTAGGCGTATTGGGCAAATGGGAAGAGGGCCCATAATTTTACAGACCATCAGGACAGGGTAATGTGGTCAACATTACGCCGGCCGTCTTTACTTCCCCAGGACAGCCCATCCTGGTACCCATTTTAGACTGGGTCGACCTGCGGCGCCCCATAACATAATAAAAATCCACGCAGCCAGCAGTGGGTTTCGATCACGGTACGTTGGAATTACGAGTCGGACTTGCAATGGTTCAACCAAGGAGGCCGCTATATTAATAAGACCCTTGAATAAATGACGAAAAGTACTAATTACAATTACTTCGAAGTCGAAGTTCTTCTGCCTGAGAGGAGAGCAACCAACAAATCACATGCAAATAAAACCAAATCTGTCAGATGGATAAACCAAGTCATGGAACAAGCCTGATATCAATTGTTTTTTAATTTTTTTTGTATGAATGTCTTGTGAGTTCTTTGTATCAATTTTTTTTTCTGCTTCTTTTTTCTTGTTCACGGGTGAATTCCCGGGGGTAAACGCGGTTTCGTCCAAGGACTTTTTTCTTTTTTACCTCGACCTGTTTTTTTCGTGTACACCCTTTTATTCTTTTTTGTTTTTCATCCCCCGTTCCCTGCCTCCCCGCAGATTACTCCCACTTCGAGGGATGATACGTGTATTTCGAGGGATTTCCTGATATTTTTCGTTCTTTTTAAAGGTTTCCCCCCACTTATTAAAGTTTGTTTTTGTTGTTGAGGTTTCCCGATATCAATGTAGTTTGGTTTCCCCCGAAAAGAAGCTTTTTAAAGGGTTTTTCATATACATTTTTTGTTTAAGGTTTCCCCCACATAAAATTTTTTTGATTTTCACAGAAACAAGTTCTTTTTTGGTTTCCTTTATATCAATGTTCCTTTTATATTTTTTTTTTTGGCATGAATGTCTTTTTTAGGTTTCCCTATATCAAATTTTTTTAAGGTTTTTTCCCTTTTTTGAATTTTTTT